CCCCCCCCCCCCCCCCCCCCCGTGGCAACTATGAGATGGTTTGGGTTGAGAGGGAGGGACTGACCCAAAGTCTCCCATGGGGGACCAGAATCTGGGTCTCTCTGCTCCTAATCCAGCACCGTCCCCTCTGGCTAACCAAGATGTATCAGCCTTCCAAGGCAGACCAGACAGGAAACACGACCAGATGAGCTAATTCTACTTTATTGTAAGGCTACATTAACAGAATCTTGCAAGACTCAAAGTACAAATCTCCCACCGTCTCCTTTACAGCCTCAAAAGTTAGGGAGGGTCCCTTTTGAGCCTCTTTCTCCTCCCATTATGCAGCTGCGGGCTTATTCCCTCTCTTATCTGACCGTCCCTAGGCAGCATCTCTTCCCCGTCTCCCAAAGTCCTTCCCACGTACCATTACAAGATGTGAGACCAACTTGCTCATTTCTTTTTCCTGTCAAAATCTGTAAGATTCCTTTAGATAACTCAACTCAGTTCTGTACCCAAAACAGAACTGGTGAATGTGCTGGTTCTCCAGCACTCTGCCTAAGATTATTGGTGGGTTAAACAAGCCTGAACACTATTCATTTTTTTCCTTCAGACCGCTCCATTTTAACCTGGATTTTCAGCTACCCTCCCCAGTGAAATCTCCCTGAACAACTCCAAAGCATGCACAGCATTTTGAAACGCTTCCACTGGTTTAATAAAAGCATTACCTTAACAAGGGTATCATTCTCTGCATTTTACTGAACTGTGCATTAATAAAAGTGAAACAGGGATTCAAATACGTTCACTTATTCTTTGTTCTTTAGAACCCCCGGAAAGCATTTGAATTATACTTTTCGGCGAGAGTATTAATCGGCTATAAGGAATTCACTGCTGGCAAAGGCAATCTGAAAAAGCAATATGCAGAACCGTAGACATGAATTAAGGGCCCTCTAAACATTTGCAGGAAAAACAAAATCCACCACATATTTCAGAAAGCAAGTCTAAAACATTTGGATCCTAATCCTACTACTGATTCAGGACCCATAAGTCTTGTTGTGCTGCCTTAAACGATGCTTGCTTGATTCACGGTGTCTCTGTATTCCTGGCTTGTTTCAGTTGTGCTGTTTGATTAACTACAATTGTAAGATTTCCAGTTTCTGAGCTAACCGTTCAGTAAACTACCACCATTTGTCCCTTTATTTTACTGCAGGAAGTCAGTCATAAGATACAGAATTCAACTTTTTTTTCCTTGCATCATACAGATTTTGGTTGAACAGGCAAACCATCGGCTTTGCTAAATGACAAACCGAAACGTATCGTTTAAAATTAATGTTTTTCATCTTTCCGTTTTACAAAATAAATATTTATTCAAGAGATATTCAGCACTGAAACATCTAATTCAATTCAAAATGTGTTTCTTGGTCCTCCTGCTATGCTTGTAAGTTACTCAAGGCTTCTTTTAGATCCTGTCTTAAAAATATAACTGTTTTAAAGTTTGTTGTGAAAGGGAGATTATTTTTCCCATTCTACCAGTTAGATGATATCTTCCATGTGGCCTCTCTGATGGGAAGTGAGGTTCCTTTTCTGATTAAAACTCTTTCCACACTCCAGGCATTTGTAGGGCTTTTCTCCAGTGTGATTTCGTTTGTGTTTTCTAAGGTCAGAATTGCAAGGGAACCGTTTCCCACACTCCAAACATGTATAGGGTTTCTCCCCTGTATGGATTCTATTATGGGAAGTGAGGTGACTACTCACACTGAAGCTTTTTCCACACTCTAAACACCGGAAGGGTTTCTCCCCTGTGTGGATCCTTTGGTGTGCAAGAAGGTGGGCATTCCAGCTGAAGCTCTTGCCACACTCGGCGCATTGATAGGGTTTCTCCCCCGTGTGATTCCTTTGATGTGTGCTCAGGTTGGTCTTTGTGCTGAAGCCCTTGCCGCAGATGGAGCACCGATGGGGTTTCTCCCCTGTGTGAATTTGCTTGTGGATAATCAGGTCCGAACTGCGGGCGAAGCATTTTCCACACTCCAAACATTTGTACGGTTTCTCCCCTGTGTGGCTTCTCCGGTGGGAAGTGAGAGAACTGCTCATACTAAAGCTTTTTCCACATTCTAAACATGTATAGGGTTTCTCCCCAGTATGAGTTCTATAATGGGAAGTAAGATGGCCACTGACACTGAAGCTCTTTCCACACTCCCTGCAAGTGTAAGGTTTCTCCCCAGTGTGAATTCTTTGGTGTCTACTCAAGTGTCTGTTTGAACTGAAGCACTTTCCACATTCCAAGCATTTGGAGGGCTTCTCCCCCGTGTGAGTCCTGCGATGTGAAGCGAGATTACTGTTCACGCTGAAACTCCTTCCACACTCTGAGCACATGTATGGTTTCTCTCCAGTATGAGTCCTTTGATGAATATTCAGGTGTGTGTTTGAAGTGAAACATTTCCCACATTCCAAGCATTTATAGGGTTTCTCCTCCATGTGAATGATTTGGTGTGTAATCAGGGCTGAACTGTCATTGAAGCTTTTTCCACACTCCAAGCATCTGTAGGGTTTCTTCCCTGTGTGGGTGCTTCGGTGTCTCTTGAGTTGGGCACTCTGAGTGAAACCCTGCCCACACTCCAAGCATTTATGTGGTTTCTCACCGGTGTGGATTCGTTGATGGGTTCTAAGGTTACTCTTTGTGATGAAGCACTTTCCACACTCTGAACATTTATGTTGTTTCTCCTCTGCACAAAAGGTTTGACGTGAATGTTGCTCCCCTTGATTTGCGGTTTCCCATTCATCACCTTCAGGTATAAAGACAAGAAATTACTAAGTGATGGGTTTGTGAAAACGGCCCTAACATCACTGAATATTGTTAATGCATAGCTGACATAATTGGAACAACTAAAAACACTTCTGTGTTTGCAGGCAAATTGCTAACATCAATTTCAATTTAAACATAATGCTAATTATAGGCCACAATGATCTACTGCATCCTACTTCTGGCTGGAAGGCAATGGGAACTACAGTCCATTATATGTAGAACTCACTTAGACGCCAGAAGAGATGACAGTTGGAATCAAAATTGGGGGTCAAAACACTTATGTTATGAGAGATTTAGACAGCACTTTGTTAGATGAAGGTAAAGATTTAGAAGATGCTGGGATGGTCATCTGTCAGAGACATTTTAGTGGATCCTGCAATGTGTAGGGGATTGGACTACATGATCTCTAAGGTCCCTTCCATCTCGATGGTTTTGTGAAGAGCTTATCAAGATAGTTAAAATGTAAGGTGAAAAATCTGGGTTCCCTGCATGCTTAGTGAACTTACAGTTAATGGTAAAAAATGAAGGTAGAAGATCATTTTGTTTTCTTGGGCTCAAGAACAGATAAAGACAGAGTTTGTGCTGGAGAAGTACATCAGAGATGAATCCTGGGGAGGGAGGCCATGTCAAACTTATACAAGATCATGAAGGACAAGGAGATTTCACTGACAATAAAGGTCAGCATGGTTAACCCAGCTGTCTTTTGGGTGGCAATCAAGGTGCCCAGGGTGTAGAATGAAAAAAAAATCAAGTTGGCGGCCACAATGGTGAGATCAAAGCTCTGAATCCGTGTGGCACATAAAAACCGGGCAGAGCTTCGATCACACCATTGTGGTGACCATCTTGACTTTTTTCACCATATACTCCAGACATCCCTCGTGGCAACAAATGGCTGTGAAAGCAGGACACTGAAAGAGTACAACTCACTCTTTCTGGGGTGAAACGTTTAGCAAAAACAAAACAAAACAAGATAGACATTTGTTCAAACCCAAGAAGACATATGAATGTCTTCATATTATGGATCTCGAGACAGTTCCTAAGAGCACCATAGACAGTAAGAAGACCCCATCCCTTGGGCTTTGGCCAAACAAAGGCTCCCTGCTTCCTTGCGGTGGTCCTCAGCCTGCAAAACTCCCACATTCTCAGCATAGGATGTGAGCAGATGAGGGATGAGAAAAAAGAACATCACGCTGGGCAAGGTTGAGAGAAGCTGAAGAGGAAGGCAATGGGTAAGGTGGGTGCAGGAGATCCAGAAGAGTCTTGAAATGTCCCCGGACAAACTACAGTTTGTTACCCGGTTCAGGTCCAGATGGTTGGCATTTGTTCCTGCAGTCACCAGCCTGTCTCAGAGAGACCTTAAGAACATTGGAACAGGCTGAACAAGCACTGGATATTAACAGTCTTTCTAGGGTGAAACTTTCAGCCCCCCCCCCAAAAGACAGACATTTGTTCAGAGCCAGGAACAGCAGGAGGAGACATGGACCCCAACCTGTTGCCCTCCTGGCCCCACGGTAACCAGCTGCACAGGGACTGCTTCCCTTCCTTCAGACCCCAAGCAACTGAGTTCGTGTTTTCTGCAACGTCTCACCCAGGCCCTTGGCGTCTTAGCCAAGGGCTGCCCTGAACCCCCTTCGGGTGTGAGCCCATTTCTTCCCACGGGGGCTCTGGGACATCCCCCACCCCCGCAGGGCTGCTTCCCCTGCAGAAAGTGCCGAAGATGCGCGATCGGCGCGGGGCCTTCCCTGGAAGTCCGCGCGGAGCAGGAAAAGAGGCGGCG